GTTCAAACATAAGGGTGTCCATAAGTGCACTTGGCACCAGAATGCCCTAGGTCATGATCGATGATTGACTTTGTAGTTGTGCCATCTGATTTGCAGCCATTTGTTTTGGACCCTCGGGTGAAGAGAGGAGCTAAGCTGTCAACTGATCACCACCTGGTAGTAAGTTGGATCAGATGGCGGGGGAAGACGCCGGACAGACCTGGTAGACCCAAACATATAGTAAGGGTTTGCTAGGAACGCCTGGCAGAAGAACCCCTCAGAAAGATCTTCAAAATTCACCACTTGCTCTTGCCGAGGTCAGATGCTTTTCCCCTCCTCTCCCTCTCTGCTTTACTTTGCTGCTCTGTCTTGTCTGTGAAACTGCTTCTGAGCCTCTCTCTACATATCTTCCGAACCAAAATTATGGACTTGGATTTGGTCAGTTGGTCCCTCAACACAATTGATAACATTTCTTTGAAGAGAAGACAGGTGTTAGGTGAGCCGATTTGCCCTGTTGGCACACACGCAGCTGGAAGACTTGATGATGTGTCTATCTCTGCTGCCATTTATGGATTTTAAGTACGCATTTATAATTGGATTAATGATAACTGGTTCCTGCTTTGTGGATTTGGGTGGTTCCTGATCTATCAACAATCAAGGAAGTCATTGGCAGCAAATTTGGACCCGATCATGCTGCTTGCCTTATGATGGCTTGGTTCGTGCCTCGAGCACCCAGACTCAAATGCTTTTGGCAGAAAGGATCAGATCTCGGGGATTATTCTCAGGCACGGTCCATTGGTGTGGCCATGTAATTTGGACATTTCGGAACCGAGTGGACCAACACAGACTCAAGGTAGATGTCATTAAAGTTCCGTCTGTCCCAAAAACAATTGTGTGTTTATTTTAACTTGACTTTCTTGGCTGGCCTTGCAGGCCACCTTATCTGAATTCGCCTTGAGGACATGTTATTTGATGCTCTAACACCCCCCCCCCTCCCCAATCGAGGAATTCCAACTGATCAATCTGAGGAAACAAGCTGAATAAACATTGTGACATCATCTCAGGACTCTTGGATTTCTATTGGCGTTGTCCTTGGCCATTCCCCAACATCCCTCGAGAATGTTTACGGATCTCACTGGAGGGAACTGGTTAATTATTCCATCCTTATCAGAACTCCTACAGAGCCCTCAAGAGCGTCTTTGGACATGCTCTCCGCTCTCGTCGTCTCCCCCCTCTGCGGAATGTCTATGTCACCATGTGCTTGTATGTGCGAGGTGTTTTTTCAAAATTAGAGTCTTTCTTCTCAGCAAAGAAAGAGTTTGATAGGATTTTTTTTGCCTCCAATTCCTACGTGTCCAGTTTCACTACTTTTTTGTCTGTCTAAACAGATCTCTCTTGTAAATGAGTCTTGTAAATGAGCTCAATATCTGTCTAAATAAAGGTCGAATTGAACTGAGAACTCATACCTCTGGGAGAGATTTAACCGCATCCCAGCTGAGGAGGGGGATATTGAGTCCGAGTGGGCCATGTTCCATGCTTCAGTTGTTGAGGTAGCTGCCATGAGCTGTGGCTGCAAAGTTGTCGGTGCTTCTTGCGGTGGCCATCCTCGAACTCAGTGGAGGAAATCCCCGGGTTAGGGAGGCTGTCAAGATGAAGAAGGAGTCCTATCGGGCCTTGTTAACTGGTGGGAATCCAGAGGCAGATGAGGAGTACCGGAGGGCCAAGCAGTCTGTAGCTTTGGCTGTTACTTAGGCTAAAGCTTGGATTTGGGAGGAGTTTGGTGAGGCCTTGCATAAAGACTCTCAGTCAGCTCTGAAAAGATTCTTGCAAACAATCAGGCAGCTGAGGAGGGGAACAGAGCGCTTCACAGACACCGTGTTCAGTGAAAGTGGGGTGCTGTTGATCTCAACCAGTGATGTTGTCGGGAGGTGGGAAGAATGTTTCTCAGACCTTCTCAATCCCACCAGCATGTCTTCCACAAGGAAGCTGAGTCGGGAGACTTGGGAATTGGTCTCTCCATAACCGTGGCTGAGATCGCCAAGGTAGTTAAAATGTTCCGCGGTTGCATTGCTCCAGGGATGGATGAGATTCACCCTGATTTCCTTAAGGCTCTGAATGTTGTGGGGCTGTCTTGATTGACACGCCTTTGCAACATCGCATGGACATCGGGGCAGTGCCACTGGATTGGCAGACTGGGGTGGTGGTTCCCCTCTTTAGAAAGTGGGGTGGAAGTGTGTGCTCCATTTATAAAAGTATACTTCTTATTAGCCTCCTAAGTTCTCTTCAGGGGTACTGGAGAAGCAAGTCCAATTGTCAGTCGAGCCTAAGATCCAGGAGGAACAATATGGGTTCCATCCTGGTCGTGGAACACTGGATCAGCTCTTTACCCTCACTAGGATCCTTGTGGGGTCATGGGAGTTTGCCCATTCAGTCTACATGTGTTTTGTGGACTTTGAGAAGATGTTCCTCGAGGTATACTGTGTGGGATGCTCTTTGAGCATGGGATTGGGGGCCCATTGCTACAGACTTTTCAGTCCCTATATCCACCTTATTCCGGATTTGGCGCCACTACCCATAATTCATAGCGGAAGCCGGTTGTTTACTTCCGCCCGCGATCCCGCGCTGTTGTTTACGTTTGTGGGTTAACACACTTGCTAGCAATTTAATGTTTTTGACACAAAAGTTTCCTTTACCTGAAGTAAATGGCAGCACATCAGAGGTGGATACATTGCAAGGATGTTTTAAAAAGCTGCGAAGATAAGTCGTTAACTGTGTCTCACCCATCATTTCTCACGGACTGGGTAGATGATATGAAATCATGGCCCGGAATTACCTACATCGATATTATTAATTACCTTGTTTTTTCTGAAGGCGTCGATGGCGAGGAATTGCGGAATTATAAAAGCACAGAGGCGTATAATTACCTCCACAGCAACAAAATAGATACAGTTTTGCTCAAGAAACAAGGCGACTTTATCTTTCTGAAAGCAGCTGTTGAGCCGAGCCAGAGCGTTGGTCAAGCTAAACACTTAGCATGGGTCATGCTCAGAGAAAGTGGAGTGGTAGAAACGGTCGGCTGTTCCTGTATCGCCGGATTGGGAAAATCATGCAGTCATGCGGCAGCTATTCTGTGGAAGGTATATCACTTATCTGGATATCAGAATATTTACATCACTGAATCAGAATCACTGAACTGGGCGAAAGCTGTGAGCTTCCTGTCTGCCTGTGTTTACATGTGGAAGCCAGAGCATTGTGCAGCCTGTGATCTACTGTCACAAAAAATTAAACATTAAAAAGGCTGTACAGTATTTTTATATTATTTGTTTTTAAAAAAGTACAGACTGGATGCAAGGCAACCTAACATTTACAGAAAAGGAAAAAATAAATGACAACAGCAGGGATGTAAATAACTTGTTTCATTTTATTAGGAGCAGTGATAGCTGAAGTCTGTTAAATTGTTACAGGTCCAGAATGCTGTGATCAGTGGAAAGACGGGGCTAGCATGTACAGATGAGCAGCGCAGGTGGAATGCTGGGACAGCAAAGAATCTTCAACCCAAACGTCTAAGCATGATAAACTTCAGACACCACAAGGCAGAGCAGCAGTATAACATCAACTCAAGGGCTGCAGACACGATTAGTCTTTATTTTCATAAGTGTTATAAGGACTTGATCTTGTACAGGCATTGTAAATTCATTGTTGTCATCTCCTTCCAGTGCTGACACAAGAGTGTTAAATGTTTCTAACGCTATACCAGTGTACAGCAAAGCGTCTGCGTCATTTTGTAGAAGAAAAAATGCAACTTCATCACACTGAGTCGTCTTGTCCTGGACATCTTTTCTGCCAGACGTGTTGCAGTATTGATGATGATCTTTTAGCGAAGGGTCCTCCCACTGTGTGTGGACTGAGTGCAGATGTGGCCCAGGAGGTTGTGTGGAGACGCTAGCAAGGTCTGGGATGACTGACGGTGAATCTACGGTGCACTCTGAATAACACAAAAATACAAAATCAAATCAGCGTAACACAACCTGTCAAGGTGGGCAGCACGGTAGCGCAACTGGTAGAGCTGCTGCCTCTCAGCGAGCAGGTCCCTGGTTCAAACCCCGGTCCAGGGGCCTAGGTGTGAGTGAGAGAGTGAATGTTTGTTTGTCTCGTTTGTCTCTATGTGGCCCTGTGATGGACTTGCGACCTGTCCAGGGTGTACCCCGCCCCTCGCACAGTGATTGCTGGACATGGGCACCAGCGACCCCCGTGACCCAAAATGGAATAAGCGGGTAAAGAAAATGGATGGATGGATGGACAACCTGTCAAGTGTCACTTACCTTATTACGTTTTAGGAAGGAAATTTGTAATTCCACACTCGTACACACATGATACATCTTAAATGTCAATAGTGCTGTTTTAGTGGGGCTTTAGCCCCCTTAAATTTTCCTAAGCCCCATCAAATTATGCTATAATATCAAAATATTGTGATTAGATTTTAGTTTTTCATCCTTAAAAAAATCAGTTGGAGCTAGGTTGCATTTAAGCTTTTTCTTTAAAGAGTTTAAAAGAAGTTTTTTTTCAGCTGTGTCTGTTTCAAATAACCTGCCTCTAATAACTCAACATATTCTTTATTAACAAAATCCCCAGACTTTTACAGCCCTGGGGGCTGAATTTTACCAGGTTGCTAAATAAAAAGCTATTCTCGGACAGTTACATGAAATCATATACATCTCTGCTAGCATGCTACTGATGTTAATTACTAACCACTTTGTCTTTAAGATTTGGATTTGGCTGCCAATCAAGTACTTTCTCTTAGTGATAAAGTATTTTGGAATTAAATTAATAATACACTAACATCCACAATAACACTGCAACCAGCTAGCGCTGATGCTAACACCATCCACAGTATAGTAATTATAACATTACAATTATAACATTAATAATAATATAATTCAGTAAAAGATAAGAGCTAAGCATGATTAAAATGTGAAGCGGGGACAAATCACATTTTCAATTTCACTCACCGGGAACAGATTCGGCCGTTTTGTCGATGTTGCTGGAAGCTGTCTGGCTCACAGTGGTCCGGATGAGCTGCCTTCTTTTCTTTGGTGGGGCCCGGTCATAGCCCAGATAGAGCTCCGGGTCGGGGTGAAGCTCTGTGGGCTTTTTATCAATAAAATGAAAGGAGCAAACATAAACTCTCTTCGGGGGGTATTTGAGTTTTAAAGCTGCCAGCCACGCTCGTTTTCGATCCTCCTTCCTCGGCATGGAGTGCAGTTCGTAACGCGCTGGGCACACACAGGCCTTTCGAAGTTGTTGATGTGCAAAACAATACGTTTCTAGCTCGTCTTTCAGTTTTCTGGAGCTGTTGTGACAGCCAACAACAGCACAAGTTGAACCCGAACTCATATTAGAATTGTTTAAGCCTCCTGCTACAGCACAAATTACTAGAATTTGTCATTAGCAAAAGTGCCTCTCGCTTTAGCTCACCGGAAGTATAAAACCGGGAGGGGGCGGTACCTGTCTGTCATGGCAGCCCACATACCCTCTTGCAGAATAAGGTGGATAAGAGGTACGAGAGTTTGATTCGTATTGCTGGTAGTAAGTTGGACCCCTTAAGGGTGAGAGTTGGACTTTGTCAGGGCTGCCGATTGTCACCAATCCTGTTCATATCTTTTATGGACAAAATTTCTTGGTGCAGCCAGTGAGCGGAGGGTTCCAGTTCAGTAGCCCCAGGATTCCATCTCTGCTATTTGCAGATGATATGGTCCTGTTGGCGTCATCGTGCCGTGACTGCCAGCTCTCACTGGATCGGTTTGCAGCCAAGTGTGAAGCAGATGGGATGAGAATCAGCACTTCCAAATCTGAGGCCATGGTCCTCAGTCAGAAAAGGGTAGATTGCTCTCTTCAGGTCGAGGGTGAGGTTCTGCCTCAAGTGGAGGAGAAGTATCTCAGGGTTTTGTTCATGTGTGAGGGAAGAATGGACCATGAGATTGACAGACGGATTGGTGCAGTATCTGCAGTAAAGTGGACTCTGTGCCAGTCTATTGTGGTACAGCTGAGCTGTAAGGCAAAACTCTCTGTTTACTGGCCGGTCTACATTCCTACCCTCACCTATGGTCACAAACTCTGGGAAGTGACCGAAAGAAAAAGGTCATGGATACAGGTGACTGAAATGAGTTTCTGCTGCAGGGTAGCTGGACTCTCCCTAAAAAGTGAAAAGTTCAGTTATCCAAGAGAGACTCGGGAATAGAACTGTTGCTCCTCCACATGAAAAGGAGCCAGGTGACGTGGTTCAGGCATCTGGTAAGGCTGCTATTTGGGCACCTCCCGGTGCTTCAGGCATGTCCGACTAGGAGGAGACCCTGGGAAGACCCAGGACATGCTGGAGAGACTATGTCTCTCGGTTGACCTGGGAATGCCTTTGAGTCTTCCCAGAAGGGCTAGAAGAGGTGGCTGTGGAAAGAGATGTCTGGACCTCCCTGCTCAAGCTGCTGTCCCCAAGACCCAACTTCAGAACAAGCTGAAGATAATGGATGGATGGAAAATTACATAAACAACGGCCACCATAAGGAAAAGACAACAGGAAACACAAACCAATAGCCCAAACTTTGACGGTCAGATGCTTGCCTGAATATGAAAGAATGATTTGTTTCCTCTCACCACACAGTCCAGTCTGCGCTCTGAAGACTCTCCTTCTGTGTCCATCAGCTGAGTGTCACAATGTCCCACGCCTTCATACTCTGAGCTCTCTGAGCCTCGCCATACCTCCACATGCAGACGACCTGCAACCTGAAACACACACGCACACAGGTTTGCGTTGCGGTTTACTTGGACTTTGCATTGATTTGCCATTGTGCTTGCTCAGGATGGGAGACTACAACAAAGTGAAGATTCAGTATGTCTGCTGGCTTCATTAGATAGAGAACTTAACTAATTGGCTTTTCTATGTATGTGAATGTTTCTGTAAAGTGCCCTGAGACAACTTTGCTTTGATATGGAGCTATATAAATAAACTGAATTGAAATGAATTGAACGTCCATTCATTTCTATAGCCTAACCATTGACATTTACCCTAACCATTACCAGTACATACCTAACCCTAAACCTAACCCATAACCCACCAACGACACTTGAACCTTATGGGGACTGGGCTTTGGTCCTCACAATGTAGGATGTGTTCAAAAATGGTCCTCACAAAGTAACAAACAAGTACAAGCACACACACATGCACACACAGCAAAATCAAAAAATGCTTTGCGTCCCTTTCTACATAGCCAATAAAAAGATAATGTTGAAAATTTATTTGAAATATTTTATTATGTACACAAGAAAATAATCTACAAGGTCTTCATGCACAAAATAAATACAGTATTATGTGCACAACATAAATGTTTCTTCTTTCGGCTGTTCCCTCTTCATTGATCACCACAGCGAGTCATCCTCCTCCATCTCTCTCTGTCTTCTGCATCCTCCGTCCTCACTCCAACTATCTCCATGTCCTCTCCAACTGCATCCATATATCTACTTTGTCTTTTTCCTGGCAGCTGCATTTCTAACATCCTTCTACCAATATACCCACTATCCCTCCTCTAGACATGTCCAAACCAGTGTCCCTCCTCTGGACATACCATACCATACCATACCATACCATACCATACCATACCATACCATACCATACCATACAAGTTTATTTATAGAGCACTTAAAACAGCAGCAAGGCCAACCAAAGTGCTGTACAATAGAAACAAACAAGCACAGCGGACAGGAAAACATAAAATAAAAATATAGATACAAATAGCAGTGGATAATAACTAAATGGCCAACACTGTAGACTACAGACCGGATCAAAACAAATCACACCTTGTCAAAGGCAAGGGAATAAAAGTGGGTTTTCAGGCAAGACTTAAAGACTGCGAGTGTGGGAGCCTGCCTGACACGCAGTGGCAACTCATTCCACAGTCTTGGACCTGGAACAGAGAAAGCCCCGTCACCTCTGAGCTTGTGACGGGTTTCTGGAACTGAAAGGAGCGTCTGGTCTGCTGACCTCAGAGAGCGCTGTGGGACATATGACTGTAGAAGATCAGTGAGATAGGATGGGGCAGAACTGTTCAGTGATTTAAAAACATACGAGTATTTTGAACTGGATCCGAAGGTGAATGGGTAGCCAGTGCAGGGAGGCCAAAACTGGAGTAATGTGCTCTCTATGGCCTGTACCAGTTAAAAATCGGGCTGCACCATTTTGGTTCAATTGTAGACGTGCAATGGAGGATTGATTGAATCCAAACAGAAGCGCATTGCAGTTATCAAGCCTGGATGTTAAGAATGCATGGATCATTGTCTGAAGATTCTTTTTGGACAATATGGGCTTCAGCTTAGACAACCGCCTCAGCTGAAAAAAACAGGATTTAACAATCATGTTTACATGACTGTTAACTTTTAAGGAAGGGTCCATTATCACTCCCAAATTGGTGACTCTTTGTTTCTTTAACGGAGCTAGAAAGGAAAGGTCAATGCAGTGGTTCATGGACATGCCATTGGGATGGAACAAGATGACTTCAGACTTCTTCTTCAACTTAAGAAGTTTAAAGCCATCCAGTCCCGGATGTCAGCCAGGCAGTCAAGAAGAGGTTGAATAGAGCGTGTGCCTTTGTGCCTCATAGGGAAGTAAATTTGACAGTCATCAGCATAGAAATGAAATGGTATGTTGTGATTATGGAAAATAGCACCTAGTGGCAGCAGCTATAAAGAAAAGAGAAGGGGACCGAGGATGGACCCTTGAAGGACCCCCCACTGAAGTGCTGCCGATGCTGAACTGAAATCTTTGATACTGACACAAAAGGTTCTGTCAGAGAGGTAGGACCTAAACCAATTGAGGGCTGACCCTGTGATGCCCACCCACTGCTCTAGCCTAGAAATGAGGATCCCATGGTCGATGGTGTCGAAAGCAGATGTAAGGTCCAATAGGACAAGCAGCACAGAATCACCTGCATCAGTAGCCATGAAAATGTCGTTAAAAACCTTCAGTAGAGCAGTTTCAGTGATGTGGGGAGATTTGAAGCCAGATTGGAATAACTCTAGGATAGTGTGATCCTCCAAGAAGCACTTCAACTGAGACTCAATTGTTTTTTCCAGTAGTTTAGAGGTGAATGGGAGTCTGGAAACAGGGCGGACATTGGACACGATTGAGGGGTCAAGGTTGGGTTTTTTCAGGAGAGGCTGGAAAACAGCATGTTTAAAAGTTTTTGGCACCACACCTGAGGATAAACTGCTATTCACAAAAGCAAGAATAGAGGGACCCAGAGTAGGAAAAACCTCCTTTAGTAGTTGAGGGGAGACCACATCAAACTCCCTCGTCTGGAAGTCTAGGGTAGATATGTCCAAACCAACTCAGTCTGGCCTCTCTAACTTTATCTCCCTAACTTTATTTTTTTTACCACACTTCCCATTTTCCTGGACTCTAAGTCCTTGAAGTCTTGCACCTCTGTGACTACTGCTCCTTGCAGTGAGGCTACACCAGAAAAGTGTCTGATGTGCATTAATAGTAACACATGAAACAATAGCCAGCTTAATTTAATGTCTGTGTTTTCAGTTTGGAAAGTGAAATAAGAAATTTATCGAGCTACATTTTGACCTCAAATTTCAACTGGAATACTCTGACTACAGCTGTATAATTCATCTCATCTTCATTGAAGTTGGCATTATAGTCAATAATATTTTGTTTTCAGGCAGGTTTATATAAATTCTTTTGAAGCCATAATCTGTATTAGTTTGACTTTTAGAACAATTAGCTTGCTAGGCTACTGAGAGGCTACATCTTCCGGTAAAATGGTGCCCGTGTACATGGCTTGAAATCCACCTCTGCTGACGGTGTTCGGATTATTTGCGTTTTGTTCGGTTTTCATCTGGGACATAAACTCGCTACAAGAGCGCGGACATACACTGGACCTTGTTTTAACTCATGATGTGACTGTTAGTAATCTTGAAATTGGTGATAATGTTTTTTTAGACCACATGCCAGTCCGGTTTGAGTTCACCCTCCCCCATCTAACTCCTAAGCCGTGCGTTCCTGCACGTCGCAGCCGGACCATTAACCAACTCACTGCCACACGTTTCACAGATGTTTATAACTCTGAAATAGGGCTTTAACAGACTACTCAAATAATCAACACATCGATTCCTAGGACATCAATAGAGTTTTTTAATTTCACGTCGAGTATTCGTGGTGACGTCATTACGTCACTGTTACGTTATTCGTCACGTGTCACGTGATCCGCACCGGGCGCGGGTTCCAAAATGGATTCCTTCAAGCAGACAGATGGAGCAGAGCAGGCCCAGTCTTGGCAAACAGGTAGAAATCCATCAATAGTATGGAAATATTTCACTAAAGATGAATCTTATGGTTCAACTACCGTAAGGAAACAGAAAATGAATAAACTTCCTGACTGTTTGGAGCTCGTTGTGAACCGGTGTTACACAATATTCTGTGACCACCGTATATTGTGACCGTAGGGGGCGGTGTTTCATGCACTGTTGCAGGCCACAGAATATGGTGCAACACCGGGTCCAATCGGCCGAACCAGAACCAGCTTCCTCTGACTTTGTTTCACAAACAAAAAGCAAAAAATATTAATCTCTAAACCTATAAAACACTTATAAACATATTAATCTCTAAAACTAAACCTAATGCGCACCACAGCTGGCGGTGGTGCGGGGTGGTCATCCTACCCACTGTTTTTAGTTTCGTTTTTGACGTGCCGCATGTTTCTTTCAATTTTACAACTTAATAATAATAACTAATGGTTTAGTTTTTCCTGTGACTTATTTGCAGTATGATAAATAGTAAGAACATAATATATGCTCCCAATGATTTGTTGGTCTTTTTTTGTAAATAATGACCTTTTTTGCGGTTTTATTTATTTATTTATTTTTGTATCTTTAGATCCTATGAAGTCATCAAGTACTCAAGTTCTACTCGAGTTTTATTATGTTAATGTCGAGTTTAAAAATTATGTAGTCGTTCAACCCCTACTCTGAAATGATAATTCAGCCCCCGGTGTTTCTCACTACCACTGAGGCGATGACATCCCAGTTCAGCTCTGTCGGCTTAAAGACTCTGGATCATGTCGCTCCTGTTAAAACTAGAAAATCAAAACTCAGAGCAGAACCTTGGCTGAGTGATGTCACCAAGGCCGTTAGGCAGCAGTGCAGGAGGGCGGAGGGCAAACGGAGGAAAGACAGGCTGCAGGTCTCTTTTCAAATACTTAAAGAGAGTTGGCGCCGTTATCAGAAAGCAGTAAAAGCTGCTAAATCCAAATACTTTTCTGATATCATAACAACAAACTCTCACAACTCACGTGTCCTCTTCTCTACCCTAAACTCTGTTCTCCACCTCACTGAACCATCACCTCTGGAAGCCTCGACTGAGCTGTGCGAGAACTTCATTTCTTTTTGGAAAAAATTGCGACCACCCGGACTCTCAATTCCCCTTCAACTCATGACCCATCCATCCCACCTCAATCTGTAGCTCTATTTGACCATTTTGAACCCATCATTCCATCTTCTCTAGAGCTGGTCATGTGCAGCTTGAAACCTTCTGGTTCCCCCTTTGATGTGGTCCCCCCTCGACTACTAAAAGAGGTTTTTCCTACTCTAGGTCCGTCCATTCTTGCTATTGTAAATAGCAGTTTATCCACTGGTGTGGTGCCGAAAAACTTTAAACATGCTGCTGTCCAGCCTCTCCTGAAAAAAACAAACCTTGACCCCTCAGTCATATCCAACTTCTGGCCTGT